ACATGTTCCAACCCCCAACCTGGAGGGCCAGGAGACTGTGTTCGTCGGACCTCTACCCATGAACCAACCTGGTATGAGAGACTCTGTGAGAATCGTGCGGATACTCCCCAGTATAGCTCAATGGGTCGCCGAGGTACACAAACCGCCACACCACGGTAAGGTCCAGTCTCTTCGTGACGGACATAGTATGGTCTGCTAGTCTCCATCCTGACCCGACACGCTTCTGATATGTTGTCAGAAGAATCTTTAAAGAAATTGGGCCGCAGATTAGCAAACTGGCACTACGCCCGTTATTAATGAGACCCTTTTGCATTAAGTGTATGACGTCCGAGAATCCATTCATTAAATAAGGTGGACAAGAGGATGTAAAAATGAAAATTACTAACAAGGTACTTCCATTCTTTGTGCTGATGTTTGTTAGCCCTCTCGGGACAACACCAGAACAAATACTAAGTTGATTTCAGGAAAGTAGACACTGGGCTTGTCCGTTACGTCACTGAGTCCAAGTCGAGTCAAGTTTACAACAGTTTATACACCACATCATAGATAGTGCGAAGGTGTAGGCCACCGACGTTACTATGAATCATTCCAAAAACCAGACCATTCCAAGTGCGACAAACTATCAAAATTGTTCTCCCTGCTCGTTCAAGTTCCATCAGAACAGCCAGAGCAGAATAAAGCAGGCCTCCTTCTTTGCGATTTTGTCCCCTTAGCACAGTGAGGAGGGCCAAAAGCAAGTCTGACAAGCCTCACACATAAGAGGTGCGTCTTCAGCTTGAAAATTTCAATAAACGTTGGGAGTGAACGTGTGACCGTTCATGCGCATATAACATGGAAGGAGATCTGTCTGCAGATCGAATTTAAATATCTAGCCCCTCCTTCTTTTTGGTAGCTGTATTAACGGTAGTCCGTTAGTTGCCTCCGTTAATGATCATCATGTCCACGTGGAGATTGTTTTGCTCTGTTCCGGGGTTTATACTTTTTCATTCTGCTGATGTCCTCTCTCCCAAACTGTGACTCTCTCAAACCAGCAGCAAGCGGAACACGGTCGGGCCTAAAATGGGCGCATGATAATCGGGTGTATGCAGTCGAAAGCCAATCGGTCAAAGAGATATCCGGAGCACAACAAACACTCCCAAAATGAAACGTCTACGGCTTTCCTTATAGGCTCCAACCTCTTTTCAAAAGCATACAATAAATTCATAAAGTGCCCCAAAATATCTATTTAGAAACTTTCCAAAGATTGGCAAAATCGCCCAGGGGTTTAGCAACATTACTGGAAAACCCCAACATCTCATCTGTCTTAATGCCCACAGCGAGCAACTTGTATCGTCGGAAGGGGATTTCTTGACCATCCACGAACATCTGCCTCCCAATGGCTAAAATAAGTGGATGGGAGATAACTTCATGATTCAGTATTGTCTTAATGAACTAAGAAATAACAGACACGCAACTAACTTCCCACCATGCTCCACACTCTAACCCAGTCGACAAGACGTTCAGCCGCGCTTGAGGAGAGGCAACTCGAAGACTGCGTAACCCGTATTTTAACTAATGCCCTCAGACAAATCTCATTGAAGTGCCCATTAACGTCTCTTCAAGCCCCCATAAAAGTATAACGAATCATCACAATGCTTAAGGACCGATGAGTGTGGAAACGACCATCGAAGGGAGTTGACTACTAGCTGTAACACTAGGTACTGCTAGCTTATGAGAGGAGTTAAGTGGTCGTCTCCAATCGTCCATGGTTCATGTATACGCACTGGGCTCTAGTTTGGTCGACCTATTATATCATCAGTTATTTCATGTCAGTAAGAAAATGAAACGTAAGGATATCACGGGCGGCAGGCAAACAAATTATAGTTTCCAGCAGGTAAAACATGAGAATATCGTTGGGCAAATGACTGCCTCCTAAGAAGGTGGCATCGTGAGCCACGGGTTGCCAACAGGACGACAGAACAGCATAGACTGAATTCCTCAGATGGAAAAGAACAGTTCGTCAACCGGGAGCCTAAAAATAGGTTACTCACTGTAGGCATGATGAAGAGTGACATTCCTATTCTTATTGCTTATTCATGCAGTTTCACAACTGTTCGAAAAACAATCAATAGATTCAATGTCGATCGGTTCGAATCGTTGTGCAGTTGAGGGAATTCAGCCTGCCATAGCTCGCACAGGTTACAGCCCATTGTATTCATATGCGTCAGTGAAATTGGACGGTGGGTGGAGAAGGATCCAAGCAGCAAACTCCAAGAAACTGCTTTGCTTCGATTTATCTAAACCATTGGTGGATTATTTCTGATTATTATTTCTGAGCCTTGTGAAAGTAAGTGTTCCCATGTGAAGAAATGTTATGTTTATCAGTCTCCGTGAATCCAGGAAACCGAACCAGCCCGTTTGTTCACCAGTGCTATCGGTAAGCTAAAAATCTAGTGCATATGACTACCAAACATGCCCGAACATCAAAATTGTACTCAGTAAGGTGTGGATAAAAAGATTTATCGGAGAAACAGACATTTCCATTATTGTGTTGAAAATGGCACGTTGCGATCTGTGTTATTTAGGAACAGACGACAACAGACGTGCTTCTATTTAAGCCGACCTATTGGTTCGTCGCCAACTTGGCCGCGCATCCCCTGCTGGTTCACCCATTACGTCGATGATCTCACCATCACCATAAGCTCAATAGTATGCAGACTTGACGCTCTGCTGTTACAGACCTCCACACAATTTTTGACAGGTGCCAAGTGAGAGTCCGCTAATGCAGTTACATTGCACGATGCAGCTTGACTCATTCATCCGAAAAGAAAAACGCCTCTAATCTCCNCAAACACTCCCAAAATGAAACGTCTACGGCTTTCCTTATAGGCTCCAACCTCTTTTCAAAAGCATACAATAAATTCATAAAGTGCCCCAAAATATCTATTTAGAAACTTTCCAAAGATTGGCAAAATCGCCCAGGGGTTTAGCAACATTACTGGAAAACCCCAACATCTCATCTGTCTTAGTGCCCACAGCGAGCAACTTGTATCGTCGGAAGGGGATTTCTTGACCATCCACGAACATCTGCCTCCCAATGGCTAAAATAAGTGGATGGGAGATAACTTCATGATTCAGTATTGTCTTAATGAACTAAGAAATAACAGACACGCATCTAACTTCCCACCATGCTCCACACTCTAAGCCAGTCGACAAGACGTTCAGCCGCGCTCGAGGAGAGGCAACTCGAAGACTGCGTAACCCGTATTTTAACTAATGCCCTCAGACAAATCTCATTGAAGTGCCCATTAACGTCTCTTCAAGCCCCCATAAAAGTATAACGAATCATCACAATGCTTAAGGACCGATGAGTGTGGAAACGACCATCGAAGGGAGTTGACTACTAGCTGTAACACTAGGTACTGCTAGCTTATGAGAGGAGTTAAGTGGTCGTCTCCAATCGTCCATGGTTCATGTATACGCACTGGGCTCTAGTTTGGTCGACCTATTATATCATCAGTTATTTCATGTCAGTAAGAAAATGAAATGTAAGGATATCACGGGCGGCAGGCAAACAAATTATAGTTTCCAGCAGGTAAAACATGAGAATATCGTTGGGCAAATGACTGCCTCCTAAGAAGGTGGCATCGTGAGCCACGGGTTGCCAACAGGACGACAGAACAGCATAGACTGAATTCCTCAGATGGAAAAGAACAGTTCGTCAACCGGGAGCCTAAAAATAGGTTACTCACTGTAGGCATGATGAAGAGTGACATTCCTATTCTTATTGCTTATTCATGCAGTTTCAGAACTGTTCGAAAAACAATCAATAGATTCAATGTCGATCGGTTCGAATCGTTGTGCAGTTGAGGGAATTCAGCCTGCCATAGCTCGCACAGGTTACAGCCCATTGTATTCATATGCGTCAGTGAAATTGGACGGTGGGTGGAGAAGGATCCAAGCAGCAAACTCCAAGAAACACAACTGCTTCGATTTATCTAAACCATTGGTGGATTATTTCTATTATTTGAGCCTTGTGAAAGTAAGTGTTCCCATGTGATTCGAAGAAATGTTTATCAGTCTCCGTGAATCCAGGAAACCGAACCAGCCCGTTTGTTCACCAGTGCTATCGGTAAGCTAAAAATCTAGTGCATATGACTACCAAACATGCGCGAACATCAAAATTGTACTCAGCAAGGTGTGGATACAAAGATTTATAGGAGAAACAGACATTTCCATTATTGTGTTGAAAACGGCACGTTGCGATTTGTGTTATTTGGGAACAGACGACAACAGACGTGTTTCTATTTAAGCCGACCTATTGGTTCGTCACCAACTTGGCCGCGCATTCCCTGCTGGTTCACCCATTACGTCGATGACCTCACCATCACCATAAGCTCAATAATATGCAGACCTGACGCTCTGCTGTTACAGACCTCCACACCATTTTTGACAGTTGGCAAGTGAGAGTCAGCTAATGCAGTCACATTGCACGACGCAGCTTGACTCATCTATCCGAAAAGAAAAACGCCTCTAATCTCCACGTCATTCAGTCGTTAGACAAGCGGAACTTTTGGATCAATGGAATGCTCTTTGCGTCTGAAATAATCGTTTTGATCAAGGGTGACATACTAAATGGCAAGACAGTATATTCTGATGAAAATCCAAGAATATACTGCCTTGCCCATGTATCCGCGAAGTGTCTCGCAAGAAGGCCCCAATGCCACAAGGCGACCTCTTCCTCAGGGTAGAAATTGACCTCCATGTGTAATAACTACGGTGAACACTGTCGCGGAAAAAGTGAACGATAGGAGTTTATTTGTCTGTATATTATCTGTTAGTTCACTGAGACAATTTCTGAATCAAAAATTTATCTCCCGTCCAGTTTTAGCCACTTGGAGGTGGAGGTCAACAGACCCTATTCCGACTAATCAGGTTGCTGGCTATGGGCACTAAGACAAATAAGACGTTGAAATTTCTCAGTAATTTGGATGAATCCTTGGATAAGTTTGCCAATCGTTTTCGGAACACCTTGGTTTTCAATGACTTTTAAACTAACCTGAACAAACCACAAGCTGGTGTGAGCCTACGAAGAATCAGTGCATGCATTTGCATATGATAAGGTTGGCTACGTCCGATCGATCTGAAATTAGTGATTAGATGCATATGATCGGAGGTAATGCACCTGCACTGAGTTCGCCTTTTTTTGTTTTCAAAATACATCTGTAGCCGTCACACGTTGAAAGTACGAGTAATGGTAAGTACTGCTGCGCCTAACTTTGAACAATTAGTTCCAAGTCCTCGTTCATCTGATTTATCCTATTTTATTTAGCCATTATGAATGAATAATTTTCACCTGCGATAGCTGAACATAACAGTTATAACCAGGCCTTTTTCCCAGATTGTGAAAATATACTAATAAGTTTATGTAGGGTAGTCATAGTGACGACTCCGCCTGCCACAAAGCACATACCAACCAGATAAAGAGGGAAGTAATTGCAGGCAACAGCAATAAACCGGTGTACTCAAATACCAGAGGCAAAATTGCATTGAATTTCGAATTACCGGGGAGATTGAAAAAGTGGTACCACTCTATTACAATAACAAGAAGCAGAATATTTTGATAAAAATTTGGCGTCAAGATTGTGTCATGAACAGGCGTGAGTATGTGTTCACATGAAATGAAATGATTACATAGTCTTGGATGGCAATGAACTTGACCAAAAGCCGTCGGCAAGAAAATACAAAACAAACCTGGCAGCGGTTCGGGATGTAGGAGAAAAAATACGGACAAACATAAGTACGTCGCTAGAAAGGGCTACAAATACACGGTGTCCAGCTGGTTTGAAAAACCGGTGCCGTGATATTCTAGAGTGCCATTGACACTCGGCTTGGATAGGCGCACATAGGATCATTGCAGTATAAATGGTGAAAGACTACCGACTGTCTGGACAGCCCAACCGCAGAGAATTCAGTTTGGGTACGAAGTCCTCCAACGTTTTCCAGATATGTTCTAGAAATGTAGGCAAAATGAAACGAATAACAACACTGTCAGCAGAACCACGCGGGACCCAGCTTGTGAGAATCCCATGGGACAGTAAGTTAGGAGAATTGGAACAATGAAGGTGAAACTTCAAGAAGAAAAGTTACCTTTCCATTCCTGAACACTGACATCCTTTGCTTCTTCCAACGCGTCAACAAACCGATCACCGGTGGGCTCGTCCTGTTCGTCGTGGTATAATTCAAAGTAACGATGAGCCAGAGCCTGTGAGGCTGTAAATCGCCGATCCGGATCCAGTTGGAGCAAATGCCGAAGGAGATCCACGCCTACAACCAACCAAACCAATTAAGCCCGCTAAACCATGAGGAAAAGATACACTGTTGTCACTGACATTGCTACCACATTGTCACAAAAGCGGAGTCTTGTTAGCTTGCTCGACAGACTTGCTTAGTCCATATGCACAATAGGTGCGTTAGAATTCGCAAGTTAAACAGTTTCCATGCAGGTTGAGTAAATGAAGGTGAACAAAAGAGTGAAGCTAGAACAGAGTAGTGGCTACATATCAAACTTCTAATGATTTACAACTGGTTCTACTACGCTCCAGTTTTACGATGAAGCATCTTCCGAGGAAACCATACCAGGAGCATTTCCATTCCAACCTAATCTCGAAGATGACAGTCCTCCTAGGAACCAAACGGGATTGACTTTTTGGCTTGCTTCACTCTCATTATACACGAAAGTAGTATGCACAGCAAATGAGGCTCGTAGTCAGAATACCCAGTACAAAATACAAACGACCAGTATGCGGCGAATGTTATTTAGCGCTGAGCGATTCGTGAACGTATGTTGCAGACAGCTGGTTGTTTAAAAAAGAGCGGTGACTTCGCCTATATTGTCTAATCAAGTGTGACATGAATGCGCTCAACTACACAAGCACTTTACGCTACTGCGTGATCTTGATAGGTTCTTCTCAGCTTAGCATAGTGGTATTTCGGAACCTGACACACAGCTGAAATGCGCAGCGAGGTTCTCCTAACCAAATATTTACCAGACTCTCCATAATTACTCTTAAGCGTCGAATTAAACTTCGCCCATTTACTATTGAATGGTTTTCAATTTTCAGCCGAGTATCGTCAGATGCGTTCCTCATTCGCATCAACCCAGGTGGCAGTCCTAATACGTTATTGTAAGTGGATTGAATATCTGAGGCTTTCTTCCCGATCAACTAAAGAATCCTTGTTGTCAGTGTGAGGAGAATTGAAAACTGTAATGGGAATTTCATTCTGTAAGTGTAGCCTAATCTAGGCTGAAAAGCACTGCACAGATGCTTCATCCTTGTTAGGAATTATCAGTGTTGCGTATCTCGCGAAACTCAGAGCTTCGAAACGCGACCTACCAGCCAGCAGTTGAACACTTAACCGTTCTACCACGAGCGCCTGATCGACAGTGCGATTGGGTCATACTGAAACGGGGTACAGTGCTAATCATCCTTCAATCACGGGAACCATATTACATGTGGTCCCCATCAAACACCAACAACTATCTCCGCTGGCCACGTGCGGTTGGTACGGTAACCGGTTTTATCAGCCACCTTTCCTAATGCATTGATTTCCCGCTTGATGAAACATTTCAGTATCTCTTAAAAACGTTTCTTTTGAGCCGAGGAATGTCGTTTTTGGAGCTATTTGTCAAATCCTGTTACTAGTGAACAGCAACCTGGAGTGACTTAAACTTTCAGTTTGAAGGTTTCATTGTCATCGTATTTCGCAAAACATACAACAACAAGCACATTAACCGACCACCTTTCCGAGGATAACAGAGTCGAATTGCCCAACTTCTGTATCTTACCAGTGTCATTTAAAACCGAAGAAATACAGCTTCCATCTGGCTACAATGTCGCAACAAAACTTCGATCAGGCCAAATCAACAGGCTGACTAATGAGCCACTATATTGTGAGAACAGGTTGTTCCATCATCAGCAAGAAACTCACCATCTTCAGGAAAGTCGGAAAAATGGACACTGAGATCAGGTGGATTGGTAACTTCCAAATTATCGATGAAACTCCGGGCCTGTTGGTTCAAGGAGAAAAAGCAAACACGAAGTGAAAATTTGATTAATGACATATACTGTGAGGTCATCGGTGACAGGATGCTATTTTGTACACGCAGAAACAACACTTTCAAACTGGCGTTCGCCTGTTCCGTTTCTTTACGCTGAGGTGGATGTGGGCACAATAAACCCTCGTCAGCGACAGTTGAGGTTTACGAGGGCGTTGTAACCTAGGTTTCAAAAGAAACGATCATACCGAGAAAACAGTACTACGCATCTAGCCGTGCGTCTGTCCGTCAACAAGATGGTCAAATGGACCGGAAAAAAGAAAACGCATGTGACTCGTGCAGATTAAGAAATATTTACGTTCCACCGCAATTCAGAGCGCCCGCCGTCCGCTGTAGAATCGATTATTATTGAAGTCCGAAATGAAAACAGCATTGTACAAGGATAAGAAGATTAACACGAACATGCATACACTATATAGGATGACATCCGCTTGTGTCCAGGGTACTTCGGTGAGCGTGACTGTGAAAGCCAAGCATAGCTCACCACACTGTCTGACCACAGCTGACTGGATTGTCAGAAAACAAGACATGAAGTAAAATAGAGGCCATTCAGCTATTTGTTCTTAGAATTTATTAGGAACAATGTTATCGAAACGAACACACCATTAAGCCCGAATGTACCAGCTAGCATGCCACCTAGACTCATTGAATTTGGGATATAGTTCACTCAATACATAAACATCTGATCCCATGCTCAGTTCTCTGATAAAAGTAGTAAGCACAACACGCTCTAAAACCGCGGTGTTGGTGAAGTGACTCTCATTTGAGTGAGAAAGTTTATCTCAACTTGAGAAATGCAGTCAATTATGTCCTAAATAAAACTATGGTAACACATTGGGATCTTTTTGATCAGGTTATCAAAATTATGAGCTTCACTCCTTTACCAGTGATCTAGCATAGCTGATCAATACTGTGAAATACATAATCTAGCCTCATCGTGACATTAATCCCCAACATTATCCATGGGGCAGTCAACTAAAAATGCACGAACAGTAACCCCGATATGAGATGGACTGAACCTACCCAGGTTGTATCACGCCGGAATGGCATCAAGTATGCAGGAAATCCACGGGGGTCACAGTGTAGTACAGTCGTGTGGTTGGTAATCGCTCTGGTTTTCTACCTAACTGTTTAGATGTTTCTGTCACCAGATACCGAAGTTCAATCCACGACAGTCAGTGTTGAACCTGATGTCAGTACTGTATCAGTGCCATACTCAAACTTTTCGCACAATGATATTTCACTGTATATCAGCCATAGTAACATGGAATAGGCTACTCCATCGATTGTTAGCTGACCAGCTTCAGTCAACGCACAATTCTCAGAATCCTGGGCATCATATGCGTAGAAAAGTGGATTTGTTGTCGTAGTCTCTGTTATCCGACGGTTATCAGAATACTAGACTTGGTCTATGGTTTGTTCTGGCATATTGTTCGCATATTCCGAATCTCTTCTTCAGAATAAGAACCTCCAGCTTGATCAGATATGTAACGGGGCAGCTCGATAAGCCCTGTTTCGTTATAGATCACGTCATCATCGAGGTGGGAGAAACACTATTCATCAACCCACAACACCTTTGATATCAAAAATCAGGTTCGGTGAAAAGGTAGTTAAAAAGCAGTATCTGCAAAATAACTATGGGAACGGCCTTCCTTCAAAATAACTAGCCTTCTTGTACGCCGAGCGTCAGCTGGTCGCATCAAAACAGTCCACGAGCGGCTTCCAGGTGACGAGAAGGAATCCCTCAAGATGCAGATGAAGCTCATCAGATAACAGTGGTTAAAACATGCATTACACATGCTCAGCGCCACTAGAAAAGACTGAATTTTCCACTTCAAACCTCATTTGGCGAAAAATTCGTGAGGGTCATGCCATTATATGGTAGCGCAACATGGATGTGTAGTTCTGGTTCAGGTACATGGGATTCTACTTGCACGCAAGTGGAAAAACCTACAGGACACGTTAGTTAACTGAAATCGTTCACCCTTTCGGTGCCTAGCTGCCATGCCAACCGAAGGAAACACGATGGCTCAGACGATGCCAGGTTGCCCTATACTAGACAGGAGCAGTCGAGATGGAGAGGTTGGGTTCGAACCACGGACCGGTCAGCAAATTCGCGCTTTAAACACTAAGCCATCTGGAGCACGAAACTGATCCCGGGCATGTTGACACGCCTCTATCAAACTGTCTAGCAACAGCTGGTGGTTGTGACACGCTTGAACTGGATGGAATTCACTAGCTTAACCTCGCCGATGGCGTCTTACTCTGACAATACCCAGAAACGCTTACCTCAAAGCTCTTAGAATGTGTGGACGCCGTACTCGTGGCTATTTTCCCCACGGACATAGGATCTATTTCAATAAGCTTCCATTCCTTCCCCTTCCTTTCGCTCCATGCAAAGGAGTTCGTTATCCATGATGGTGTGGCAGTTAAACGGCCACCAACCTCTCCTGGCAGACTCCTAAGTTCAACGTTTCAGTGTCTAGTCTGACCCTGCACGTATCATCCGTCTACTCCTCTCTCGTTCTCTAACGATACGGATAGCTGGAACCGACATTTTACTTGAGTCATAACTGGAGGGATTCGCCATACCCTATTATGGTATGTCAATCAGTGAGCTTCATTTACTGTGTACGATGAACTTACAGGTTCAGACTAAACTTAAGAGGTAGTGCTCTATTTGGCTTTCAACGTAGGATGACCTTATTATCCCGTGCCCCACGGGCATGTTTTGCACCATAAGGTTGTTGTTGCACTTGGTGGGGCAATTTGCTGTGAACCCAGGGGTGAGATGGCTCAAGTGGTTAGAGCACGAACTTACTGACCGGAGGGTCCGTGGTTCGAACCCAACCTCTGCTTCTCGATTCCCTCTGTCTAGGCTTGGGCAACCTGGCAGTATCACAGCCCTCGTGCTCACCTCGGGTGGCATGATAACTAGGCTCCGAAAGACTGTCACGGTTGAACAGTTTTTGAACAGGTGTGTCATAGGCTGAGTAATCTGGAATTCCGGATCTGACAACGTCGGGAGTTAGGAATCAAACTGTCTAAAAAGACTTACACCTGCGCCAGTAACCTTCTCCATGTACAGTTCGTCTGGCTTCCCCAAGAGGCAAATTATTCGGCGAAGCTGATCGATGTGGTTCCGGCCTGGGAAAAGTGGTTTTCGAGTACGTAGTTCGGACATTATGCACGCAACCGACCAGATATCCACTAGTGGAGGAGAAAGTCAACGTACCCAAGATATAGTAGAGAAAACACACTGACACTTTATATGAGCTGTTAAACATGCAAAACATGATCATGTGATCAATTAAGAAAACGAATGAGGTACCTGATATACAAAAAAAATTGGAGCCAATGGCCACTGAAACAGCCACATTTTGTGCTGCAGTTAAACACTGTACACTTAACTCAGCTACCTTTTCTGGAGACAATATAAAAGGAGAGATTCAGCTAGGTGTCCCGTTAAAACCAGATGGGTGTGCAAACGAGGGTATTTGGTGAATTAAAAGACTAGTTAGAACTGTTCCCTTCTTGTGTCCATAAACGGATATCGTTGAACAATCACATGAACATACGCACCGCCGCACACAAGCCCGTGAAAATCGTCCTAAATTCGCAATGTTTAGCCGTGAATTTCACGGAGTTTCAGTCAGCTAACTTGTATACCTAATTTCAAATGTGTCCTTCTTACTGATCGTCAGAGAAAGTTGTGAAGAAATGTAGAGCCTGATGAATGAAGCGAGACGTCCAGTGACCCAACAACGGCGTAAGGTGGTACAGCGTGCAACCATTTCAGAACAGACCTGGCTCACATTATACGGGCTAATAAATTGTCTTTCTCATCATCATTTTTGGCATTTTGTACTGAACTCTTTCTACATTCCCAACACCTTAATCACCAGAAAAATTGAAGCAAAAAGTGTCAAGCTGATACAAACTTTAATCAATGCATCAGTTGGCCCGTAAAGTAAGCACCAATAAAGGGTCAATGCTCCAAGAAGCTCGTTTCTTTCAACGCCACATTGAAGCTCGGCTGTGGATATGAACACGCGAGGGTTTTCAGCATCATATTTTCCTGGATGGCTATTTGAACTGAGAATTCTCGCTATAAAGAGTACTCACACAGGCGTAAACAAAAACACCTCTACACGTAGGGTGAGGGAAATCCCGTCCCTTACGGATAGTACTCATAGTGGTCTGCTCGGTCCGGAAGTAATAAGAGTATGTTCACCTATTCTAGTCTATAATATGGACTTTTATTGTTTTGAAAAACATTGACGTGGCGTCGTCCAGTTAGATAATAGCGATCCGGGCCGAACGGCTACCCTACAGGATGCCTGAGATAGACTCATAGGTGCTGAAAAGGATGTTGACAAGCAAATGTTACTTGGGAAACGTCACTAGAAATAAATAGACTTTTGTGCAACCTTTCACGTGAACTATATCTACCTGAGACGTAAAGAGCCTGTGCACGGAAGAACTAGTACAACATCCACGTTATAAGAAACTAGTTGTATGGTTGACATCAACTCTTCTTAAGCCTACTGGTCGCCACTCATCAGTTGGGTGACGTCCCCGAATCCCCGTTTACCGTATTTTCTACTTAAATAAGAAATTGGAAATAAGCAGAGATAGATGTTTACATAATGAGAAGTAATCGAAATGGACATTGAAATAGGGTTCGAGCTTCACGTGCTAAAGAACAATCTATTCGGGAAAAAATGTTGGCTCTCCCCAAACATGATAACAATAAATTTTATCTCAAGCTAATCCGATAGGTATCTCAATAGATCCTAGTAGTAAACCGCATAGGTTATGATAGGAAATTCGGGGGTACAAGCTGATCGATAGGTATCTCAATAGATCCTAGTAGTAAACCGCATAGGTTATGATAAGAAATTCGGGGGTACAAATAGGTTTTTTAATTACTAAGCTATGCACCTGCTTTGCGTCCATGACTGATGAAAGAGAGACATATTAACCCCCCGCAGTCTGTTCCTTCTTGTTGTTCTAACCCAGTGCTGATGGGATTCGGAAAACCACATAACCAGCATGAAACATTAAAGCACTTTTTGCAAAAAGGTAAATGGGCACCTGGGGTGTCCAGGGTTCTCAAAGAAGCTGTCAGTTGATCATTAAGCATCAAGGTCCATAAACTGAATGTAACTACTTGGAATGAAGTGCATGGACGGTGAAAAGCCATGGAAGACAATGCGTTATTCGCAGTAGAGAATATTCCTAAGATGGAATGCCCGGCAGCAATCGGGACGCGATGTAAACGGGTAAAGGCCGGATATACATCGATAGTAAGGAGCAAACAGGGGGAGAAATGGTTCGGCTATCTCGCAAGATAGCGGAGTGGAGCACAAAGTTCCCTCTGTCTAATGGAAACCGGCGTCAAAAAAGTAGTGCGAGTCAGAAGGAAAATGTCATTAACGTTGTCATTTGAAAATAAAAAGGTTGGCGACCCTGAAACATACTCGACAGGAAGAGACCATAGTTATGCCTTTCCATTAACTTCAAAACGCAAACCCATCGACTTTATCCGAGTGGCCAGACACTTCTAACTTCGATATGATGCTATCATGTGGAGTTCGCTGAAAACGCCAGGATGCATCGCACCCATGTGGTACTGTCTCCTTCTACTACTGCTCTTTACTTATCAAAAGTGGCTCACCGACATATAATTCCTCACTCATAATGGAAAATGGGCCGTTTCGCAACCTACAAATGCGCTCAGAGGCATTCAGCACTGTTCCACTCCGAGTATCTACGCAAGACAAAGATTTGTATTTGCCAATTCACGTCACCTGTTGCCAGAAAAAAGCATGCCATTCATCACAGTACGGCGCAAGGTACGCTGCTGTACGCCTGCTAAACGCAGTCCCCGTACGATGTACAATTCAAGCCATCTTCGAGTTTCTGACCAAAGTCGCTACGATGGCACTAAAGTGCGCAATACGAACAAGAAGCGATTATTCGGTAAGGTACTAGGTATTGTACTTGTGGATCAGTCACGTACACGCCAAGCTATCGACACCGAGAATAATGTATGACTTTGAGGGGTTCGATGGAGGAGAGTAAGGGGAATTCGTGTGCTGTCGATTGGATCCAATTCTCAACAACGACCAACGTGACCTTTTGCGTGCTTGGCTAGCGACAATACAAGAAAAGGCTGTGAACCAGTGCTGTCCCACAATAATGTTGCGTCAGTGATGCCATCAGTCCAGGCACACATGGCTGGATTACCTAGCTGCGTAAACACCCAGCTTCCCTCACATAAACAATGGAATCATCCATACAATCAGCGTTTTAGTGCATGCCACCAACAGTCATATCGTACAAAAGTTCAGCAGTACAATCATGCAAGTAGGAAAATAACAGTTGATTAGAATAAATAGATTTATCAGTCCTAAACCAGGCAGTTGTGTTGGGCGGTAACCATACACGAGAAATTTGGAAATGCCACTGAACTTGTTTACTGTCAAAAGGAATACGCATACCTGTTCTAAGGCAAAGGACATCAGCACCGGTGTCAGATTAGGGGCACCACACAAAAGTACAGTGATCGGTTCGCCGATACTGAGAGTCATAGGGTGTCGAGTAAATGGGAAATGATAAAAGTAGGGACGATTTTGATAGAAAATCAATAGACTAGGCGTTCAGCTGTAACATGTTTTCCGTGCCTAGCCACCAGTACTCCGTAGCATTTGCTAAATGCAAATTACTAACGGAAGAATCGATAATAGGTAGTCTTTCTTCCACATTTATGTGAGTCACAAACCCGTTTTACAACGGCTACTAAATGCGGCGCTGTTTCTACAACCCAGCCCTGTCTCCGCGGTGGCAAATTCAGTTACAGTTTCTAATCCAGATAGTAGAACCTGATCTCGACATCATTCAACGCTTTAAGAATCAGGGTTTAAATTTAACCAAATTAACCCACCACATACGAAATGTCCCCTCTGTTCAACAAAATCAACTGATGAAATATTGTCAATAATACGAGCCCAAAGGGCCTCAAATGTGTTAGAGTGATGAAGACAATCGGAAGTAGTCAAAATCATTTAAGTTTTCGCCCGCTTGGCATCTTTTTGTCAGTACACAGTCAGGTAATGCATGGAGACATTTTCCGCATTTCGGTGTAGCCTCCCGTCCTTCAGATTACTGCAAACCCAAGCCTCGTAAGAGCATCAGCAACGAACAGAGTTCAAAACGCTGTCCTCCTCAGCGTACGGTACAAACAGACGCACACGAAGGAGCTCTCACACATATGAGAAAAAAACAAAGAGTTTAAAATGTTAACGGTGGATTGTCACGTAACTTCCATAGGTTCTTCATCCTACTAAGATCGGACTCATTATCATTGGGAGCAGCACTAGATGAGAACACTGGTGCTTCACTGCCATACAACTATGTCCGTTTATTTGAATAAAGCCTCATAAAGGAAAGAAGAAAGGAATGGAGTAGGAGGATGAATCTAGGATTAACCTACAACAAATATCCAGTGTCTACACTTTCACACTCAACCTGGATAGGAGCTGACAACATGTATGCAAATGATATCGGCTAGCCACCATATTGTTCAGGGCCTCCAGCCAATCACAAGGAGGGTCACGTGGACTTCATTTTGGGAGACGAACAAGAGAGGTGAAAGAAAACGTGAACGAATAGATAAAAGACATGAGCGTTGTGATAACGGGGAGTGAGGAATCACCACTCCGGACGGAAAGCTGCATTGTAGAGTAGGAGGTTCAAACCAATGAATGGATACTGTCCAAACTAACGTCGTGCCACAGAGGTCTTGGTGCTAGAAACGAAGCCCCATGGGATTATCAGGTTGTTCATTGTGGCGGCCTACTTCCTAATGATTTCCACCCGTTATTCAACACTCGTTCGTGTCTAAGTTAATTCATGGTTTATTCCATACTGATAAAGACCACGCGTGGCAAAAAAGGCACTTGTTCCTCCAACGGTTTACCAATACACCTCTCTCATCCACCGAACCAGGCCCCGAGCTGCCGGTTTGTTCACAAGGAGTAACAAAGATGCCAGTTGGTTGCGACGAGCATCTGGAAGGACCTCTAGGCAAATACGACAGAGCAACAAACGACCACATTTAGAAGTGGGAAAGCCGTGGCCAAGACATACCCTGTTCGTTGTAATGCGTCCAGTTTAACATAATTTCGGGTGCTCGATACCAGCGTGTGGCAACATATCCAGTCATTTCATCATCCCGCTGTCTGGCCAAGCCGAAATCCAATAGTTTGAGCTCACAATCTTCGTTCACGCCAATATTTCCCGGTTTCAGGTCTCGATGAATCAAACCGCAACTGTGTAAGTACTGGAAGTGACAGAAACAAAAGGATAGAAAAGTGGGTGAAGTGTGAAAGCAAAACCCTAGTCGAAAGAAAATCACGGGTGTGCTGCTTACTTTCAGTGCCCGGAGGAGCTGATAGATGAGAAAACGGATGTGACTGTCCGATAAATCCTGTGTGCGTACAACGGCACTCAAATCAGCTGCCATAAAGGGTGTGACCAGGTACCTGAAACCATATGTGAGAAATACTCAGTGAGTTACCAAATCGAAGTAAAGGTCATAGCCCACAAAGAAAACCACGCAAGCGGATGGTCATTGATGCACGCAGTAATGCTTGCTTCAGAAAACAGTTGCTGGCCCTTCGACGAAATTTATCTCACAAGTTAAACTGTATTTTGACAACATTACCTATTCTCAATGGAGACTTATTCCAAGAAGAGAAGGGAGTTGTCTAATTGAAAAATTTCTTGCGTTGTGGGACGTATTAACACATAATAACGAAGAACGCGTCAAATATTAGAGTCGATGAGTGCTTAATGGGCAGATCATGTGGGGAGCTATCAATAAATATCAACGATTTCCGCTGAAATAGCCTAAAACAGTAGCCTAACGTGTTGTCTATTCTCAACCTGCCCTATAAGCACGCGGCCAGATTATCATCACTGAATGGCAGTCAACAATGTCACATGGTCTATTTGCTCCGGTTACCACGGCAACGGTAAGTAAAGCGCACAATTGGACAATTAACTTGGTATGGTAGAACTGCAAGAAAGGTAGCGTGAACAGAAACTAATTCAAATGCAACATTGGACTTACAAGTCCTTAAATGTGTCTAGGGAGGATTGCGGAGAGAATGCGTCGATGAGGCACAAGATCTGGACCAGGAGGAAAATATGTACAAATGAAAGAAGCTACTCAATTATGAAGTCCGTGTAAACACTAGGAATGTGATTATCACTAGAGACACCTTGAAGGATCCTATGTGAACCACATCGTATGTAACTGAACTCCCTAATAAAAGACGCTTGAAAAGAATGAGTAAACAGTTTCCAAATTAGGGGGAGGGACTGTGAGCACCTACGTGAACAAGCGATGAGTACACTGATTGTCACTACTACTCTTAGTGGATCAGGAACAAATACGACAATAGCAGTGATAAATGCTTCGTTATCTTGCTTACTATGAACCAAACTTTTGAGCTCGACCACAGCGGGCGAACTAACTGATATCAATCATAAGTGTACAAAGTTCAGCATAAAATTGCGCCCCTACGCTTTCATCTTAAAACCTTCAACCTCTATGTCCCACCTGCACGATGTAGCCTCTAGTCATTTGATCACCGCTAACAATCAGTCGTGGAGCTCGATCACCAGAGGACACTCTGGTTCGTTTCTAACCGAAACTCTTCTGTGTTTACAACATACCATAAACTCGAAATGTTTAGGACAGTATTTCACGAGTAGCAAGTATCTTTACTGTATCAACGGCCGGTTCAGTGACGTTATAAACTGTTTCACTAGTTGCACTGACACTGCGTCTCAATGTGATACAGGGTGAGTCAGTACAAGGTGCGGTAATCGTGGATTTGAAGAGTGTCAATGATATGGCGATGGTGAAGCACATTAGTAAGAGGGTAGAACCGTAGTATGGCGTACTATGCTACAATTTAGCTAGGAAGTCACAGCACTTACATTTTCGTGGCTAACATGGGCCAAAATGCGTAACTCTCTATAAGTCCGTTTCGCGTATTCGCTGTCATCGAACGGCTTCGTCAGTTTTTTTATTGCAACTCGTCGGTGTAGCTGCGAATCATATGCCGAGCTGGATTTGATTGATCAAATGAAAAAACGGAGAGAAAAGTCGAGAAAAATCAAGAGTTTCACGTTGACGTGGGAGAATGTCGAAAGTTCGATAGCAATGAAACCTGTTGCCGTATTGGGTGTCAAAGTGCAGAACGAATAACTAGTTATTCGCACTGAAATCATACCAAAATCGACAACTGACTTAACGGTAGCTTCCACTCTAGCGGTGTTGACTTCTACTAAATCCGACAATTCCAGAAACGCATTTCAAGACCCTTGGGTAGTTCTCTTTATTCTCATGTATGAGAAGCCGAAAACATTAAAAACAGAACGTGTGGCATCGTTTGGCTGTGCAGTTTAAAGTGATTCGAACAGGGGTGATGCTGCTATACAAACAAACATGACCATTCCCTCACACTGGTTAAAACGACCGTGAATAGCGCATGTACAAGTTTACCTCGAATTCTGACAAAACGCTGGATGGAATTGCGCTCAGGAATGATCGGAACATGTTTCCGAGATTCAGCCAATGCTACTGTTCTGTCCGTTATCCAGTGAATGAGCGGAGCTGACAGGGTCGTGCTGTGAACGAGACTTCTAGCATTGTACAAAAATGCGGCAACTCCAGGAGACTTCTGATAAATTCAACTTCGGGATCTACCTTCATCTAAGTTGTTAGGTAGGCTTTTTGCTCTTTATGCGGCCCTGTATGTATAGTCAGAATCCACGCAGGTATTCCAGAACAAGCGGCAGTCATTCATCGATCATCACCATCGGTAACTGATGGCGAAGTGATTAATTTGGGCCCGTCATTGTCCGTACGCACTGAGTCCATCCCATCTTCACCACCCAAGTGAGTCTCAGATGCGAAGTCCGCCCCCACTTGTGCATTCAAACCACTAGAAGTAACAACAATAATTGGGCATTTGGCCCACCGTAACGAGGCACTCAAGGCAGTATGGAATCTGCTCCCGAAGATGTCAGAGCTATAGTCAGTTGGGGCATGAGCCAATACAATACGTAAAAAGTGATCAGTTTCCCGCTTGTGAGATTCCTTCATGGACGTTGCCGGACGAACCGCAGAGGCAATCATCAACGTGTATCCAGTCAAGCAAGGAGCCTTTCGCTTGGTGGATTAAAGCGATGCCAACCCCTGCCCAGTCCGTTGCAGTGGTTTCTGGATCAACAGAGCTGCGTCAGCGAATGCGAGACGGCTGTTGGGAAAGCTCGTTTGACGACTGTGCTTTGACCTTGATTTACTGTTTCTGATATGCAGCACACGTGTAATTCAAGCGAGTACAGTACACGAACACGAGACGTTTTCCTGCTGACTCCAGAATTCGACTACTAAAGGTACACAGATAAACCGGGTTTGAAGATTGATTTCGAGGTGTCTGAGTCCATCAGCGCTGGATAGTACTGCGCAGATGTCGCTTGCAAAACCGATGCGACATACATGGGGTTCTTACAGATGAGCCTTCAAGGAAAGTATTATTGTTGAGTTATGGGGAACTAGAAAGTACGTGTGAAAGAACGAAAGGAGACGTCGGCAGTATCCTGTTTTCGCTTGCCAGCCCTGATGTATGAAGTAGGCGACCCTGCTGGTAACACCACGCGGCGGCCGATGTGGCATGGCAGTAGTCCTAGTTGCAACGTCCGCTGTTGGGCACGGGCTGGAATACTGACAGGGTGCTTACATATAAGCAAGAGGACCATTAAAGCCATCGACCGAAGCTTTTAGTTCGTAAGCCTGACCGCCAGCCAGCCACATTTGACTTTTCTAAAGAACGAGTCGCTGCATGTGTTCCAAGTCCCAACCTGGGGGACCAGGATACTGCGCTTATCAGGCCGTTAGAACATTGTCATGGAATGAAAGAACCTGCGAGTGCCACATGAACACCATAATGTAGCTCAATGAGTTACTAGGGCAAAAAACGTGACAACGCGTTAAGGTCTAGTAACCGAATGATGAAAAATCGGACCATGCCAATTATGTAGCCCGATATGAACCTCAGTTCAGACAGTTCTAGTTCATGCAGCCAACAAAGCCGAGACTTTACGCAGGTCGTCCAACGCGTCAGGACATCTGCTGCAGTGAGCAGGGAACAATGTCAGAAGCACTTCGCCCTCGGGGAGCCTTACGACGCCAATGAATATGCGATGCGTAGAGGTAAAAGAAGCGACTCCTTCACAAACGTGCTGGTTCATCGTGTCTGTTCCAAGTACGCTTAGAAATCCAGCGTTTTTATGTAGATCGTTAGAGCCAGCAAAACCGTTTCCTTAGTCAGTCCCCTTCTTAGGAAGAAAAGTCCGCCGAGGAACAGCAGGAGCTACAATTGTGGCCCCCAAAATGGTTGACTCATTTCTCAAAAGGGAACACCGCAACGACTGTCACGTGCCAGAGACCCAGATTTTAGGTTGGCTGCGACGTTGGACAATGGATTTCATTAGCCACGATGTCAGATCAACCGGCTCTTTTCAACCGAACTAAGTTTCGCCAGACTGTGAGTTAACCAGAATATGCTAGAACATGTCAGCCTAGGAGTTCATAAGGCAAGAATGTATGACAAAGCAACGCACGATTACCCGGTATTTACTGAGATCATTACACTTCTTTTCTACATTAAAAATATTCGCGGTAAACTGTTTGTGTGATTTTTACTGGAGCACAGACAAGAGGCACGTGAATGTAAGGGCTGATGAACACGGTATCGATTTACCACGCTTCACTAGTACGGCTCAAGGATATACATGAATATCAACCATACGAAGTGATGGTTGCAGACGAGACAAAGCACTTCAATCTGTAATCACAAAAACTGCTCAGTACATCTGCATACTACCTCAAATGCACTCCTCTGGAACAGAAGATGTGTGATACGGTTCATATCGTTTGCTTTTCTCCCAAAGAAGAAAGGCCTCCTTTGGTATCCCTTGATATAAAGCGACCTAAAATGTTGACAAAAACTTTTGGATGGTCCAGTACCATTTCCACCCTGGTTGATGCTTATCGGATAAACCTCATATCTGAAGTTTCACCAATCTCATCTTGTAGTGCGATTTATGTGCACATGAACACTCATTTTTGAGCCAATGTGGTATTAACATCAAAGTGTATGTTAAAAAGAAAAAGAGTTGTGGACAAATTTCTATTGCCACATGGCCATTGATGGAAGAAACTGTCAACCTTCATTTTATAATCATGCATATTCTCACCTAGAAGTCGATTGGTGATAAAAAGTGCGAAATCCTTTTCAAAAGTTTACCCTATCCAGAGCCCTTACTCCTAATTGGATCTGAGAACCCAGGCAATAGCTCACTTATTGTGGTTTACCGAGTTTACACGACGGCCCACAACAGAGAAATTAGCATAACCAAATTTCAGGAAAGGGGAATAAAAGGCTAATCAAACCCAATCCTGGTT